CCATTAGGTTGACAGTCTCCAGGACCTGCAGGGATCTGATTTGACGCACCACAGTGGCCCGATCAAAGCTTCCTGCTGCCTCGTTCCCATTGCTCCGGATGCAGCGCACAAAATGCGGTCGGGCATGCACCAGGGTCCTCAGCAGATTGTCCAGCCTGGTGTGGAAGTCCTGGGTCAACGTGGACACCGGCTCGTCTCCGTTCAGCAGATCCGAGTGCGATGTGGGCGAGATCCGGAAGCTGAGACCCCTTGGCGCCTGCTGCTGGGCATACAAAGCCTTCAGCTCGGACCCAAAGAGATGAGTGGCGAATCCAAAGTTGCAGGTGTGCTTGTAGAACACGGCCACCAGATCATCGGGCACCACATCCCTATTCGTGTCCAGGAAGTCGGTGGTGTCGTACTCCACCCTGCCGGCAAAGTGACGGATGAGGAACATGCGCGGATCATGTGGCTCGGCGGTGGGTTTCGACTCCAGGCGAGTGGAGCAGCGATGTTGCACCTTCAGCTTGGCCACATAGCTCTCGGCGGTGCCCCTCACGGAGCACTCCGCGTCCAACATGCTGAGCAGTCCGGTGCGCAGCGAGGATATCAGATCGATGCAGGGCACATTGTCCACGTAGTCCACCTCGGTGTCGCATACGATGCCCTCGTCGCGGCAGGATTCCACCGAGGACTTGAAGATGTGCGTGTTGTAGAAGTGCTGCATGGTCTCCGCGCACAGGTTGATGCACAGGTGCTCCAGGTGGGCATGCGGTGAGGGCTCCTCGAAACCGAACATGTCCAGGATGCCGATGAAGCCATCGGTGGCATGACGCACCGCATTGTTCAGGGCCGCCATCGACTTGGAGCCCGCATTGCCACCGCCGATTGTGGAGGCATGCTGGGAGGCAGCATCCGCCTGGTTGTGCACCGATTCATTGGAGTCCGAGCTGAGGGTGCCCAGCGTGGAGCCCAGGCGCTTCAGGCTGTTGGCCCGACGCACAATGGTGGCCACCGTGCGGCAGTAGAGCGCCTTGGCCAGGCAGTCCCGCGTCATGTTGGCATCACCATCGCCGCACACGGACTTCACCAGCTGGCCACGGACGTTGTGCGTCCGGGTGGTCAGGCCGCGGAAGAGCGCCGCCGGCGGAACGCCCAGCAGGCTGGCCACCGAGTTCAGCTCCGTCTCCCCCTTCACGTCCACCTCGAGGCCCTGTGAAGGGAATAGAAGTTCTTAGTTTTGGATTTTATAATATTAACCTATAATATTGACTATAACAAAATGTCTTTAAAAATCAATTTTCTAATATTTCAAGATATAGCTTTCATTACAGAAGGTCTGTTCAAAGAGTTCTTCAACCTACTCCTTTCATAGGATTTAAATGGTATAGGATAATACATTATCTGACAAGGAAATACCACTTGAACAAATATTATTTTGAACATATTATTAATTTAAAAGGTACAAAAAGGTTTAAACCTATACTATAGTAGTTCAAATATTTTATCAAAATATTTCTCGCTCAGTATAAGTTCTCAAACATTGTATTTTCAGTCGTAAATTACCTTTACCATCAGCACGAGAAATAATAGATGATGAAGGTTCGAGGTGAAGTCGAACCCGCGCGAACGGACTCGAGAGCCAACACTCTAACCAAAACACCAAAGTAGCATCGCCAAACCTGTTGGCTAACAATAAATTCAAGCTGAGGCCAAATTCACCGCTAGGTGGCGGCAATGTGTTGACATAAGATATAGATGGCTAAAGAGCCTTTAAAGAAGGGTTGTTTCTATTTTTAACAGAACTATTTAAGCGCAATTAAACTAGATTAAATATATACGAGTACGTATTCTTATACCTTTAGATATTCAGGTATAGAATTAAACCCTCATTTACTAATACATAGTATTGTTGAAATAAACATATTTGTAGGTTTCTTCAAGAAAAGAAACAAGAGATACATTTACGCATTTTAAAGATAAAATGACGATGTACTACTAAAGTATTTTGTTCTGCATTATTAACTCAAAAACCTTGTTTTTCATCTAGTTACTTTAGTTAATGAGTGATATGTAAAAGGGTTCCCCTACAAGCCATTATAAACACACCCTACTTACCCCGCCATCGATGAACTGAACATTTCCCAGCAGCAACACGGCGGCCAGGACACGGACCACGTCCAGGAACGGGATGCCCAGGATGCCGAGGCAGGTCTTCCAGGCCTGAAACCTCCCCGCATCCTCCTGCTCGTTCTGCCCGATGTCCCCCCGCAGGTACCGCAGATTGGCCGGCGAGTAGCCCTCCAGGTGGAGCTTCTGGCGCTCCTCCCGGCTGAGCCCCGCCAGCAGTTGGTAGAAGATGTGGTAGTTCTTCTCCTTGGGCAGCGGCCGGATGACGCGCGTCTGGTCCAGGAAGTAGCAGTGGATCTTGGTGCGGTAGAGAGCTCCATCCGTGACCTGCACCTCGATGAACTGGCCAATGCGACTGGACTCCGAGTTGGTGGTGGTCTTGGCCGAGCCCAAAGATCTTAGGACCGTAAAGGCGGCGGCCAGGTGCTTGAAGGCATCCGTCTCCGGACCTCCGCCGGCGATGGCGAAGAGCTGACGGAGCATCAGCATCGCATTGGCCGTCTTGCCGGCTCCCGAGGTGCCAGAGAGGATTATGGCCTGCGGGTAGCCAGTCTCGCTCTGCTGACGCACTGCCTCCTGGACGATCTTCTGCAGCTGTGGGGCCAGCGGCAGGGCGCGGGTGGAGGTGAGGGTCAGCGGGTTGCCCACGTCCAGGTACGGATTGATGGACAGCAAGATCGGACCCACATTCGTCTGAAAAACATGGAGCAAGATAAATGGCAGTACATTAATTAGCGAGGTGAGTCAACAGCCTTGGAGGAGGTCTTTGGATAAATTCGGAGAAAAATTAAATAAGCAGTACTTCGTATAACAAGGTCAAGCGGTAGTTTTAAGGGATAATTATCTTTAAAATAATTGGTTTTAAATTATAAAAGAAATATAATTTTTTCAAAATTATACTAATACATATTTGTATATAAATACCTGCATGTTAATAATGATATCAGTCTAAAAATGTAGATACATTTTCTTATTTTCTATCAAGTTAGTTCTGAATATAACATAAGTCGCAAAAAAAATTCATAGGGTTGACCTACATAAGAACTACTTCTTAGGGCTTTTTTCTAAAATGCTAAAAATATTTTTCCGTTTTTTTCAAAGCGAATTGCGAAGATATTTTTAAAATTTAAATTAGAAAACTAACAATTCTATTAGAAATGCTTCGCACAAAAGTATATGTATATTTATTTTTAACTATACGTAGCTAATAAACAACTATCTGTGGGCTATTTGGTGGGTAAACACTATCGGCAAATGTGTAAAACCCGGTCCAAGCCCCACCTGGCGGCATCAGTATGGTCACACCTCATCCGCAGCTCCGGTTGCCATTCTGTACCCATTCCCACTCCACCTCAATCCCCCCAAGACTAGACCAGATCGACTTCCTTTTGCCTTCCGCCGAGTAATTGTCGAAATTAGCAGTTAATCTGGGGCCGAGTGCAAACGGAGCTGGGTTTTAATGACAAACTATCACAATAATTGCTGGAGACCCGTCTCCGGGACCGGTTTCTGGTGGAAGATCACAATCTTCGGTGTCTGCAGAGGTGGTTTGAAGAGGCGTTTCCCGCTAATACTCACAAAGTACCGCTGCTCGTTGAATCTGGCCTGCAGGGTTCTCATTACGGCGTGTTCGGTGAGGGGTCCTGATAGGTGGATCAGGTCCTGCATGTCCTTGGGCAGGGATTTGGCCATCTGCTGCTGCTGCTGTTGCTGCTGCAGCTTCTGCTGACCCCCGGCGAATCCGAATCCAAAGGGCAGGGTCTTCACACTCTGGCAGGGATTGGCGTGCTTCGACTGCGGGATGAATGGCAATTGCTGGCTGTGGGCGTGGCTGAGATGGTGCCCTCCACCACCGCCACCTCCTCCTGATCCTCCTCCTCCTCCTGCTCCTCCTCCACTAATGCCCAGGTGTCCCGAGTTGGAGGAGCGCATGGGCAGCGTGTTGGAGTTGCTGTTGGCCGGGGCAAGGGAGTGGGAGTGCGAGTGCGAGTGGGAACCATGCCCCAGGATGTTTCCCAGGCTGCCCATGTGCGGCAGTGTCCCGGTGGACTGGCCATGTCCACTGCCTGTCTGATGGTGTGACAGGCCCGTCTTCTCGCCCAGCTGGTGCGGAAGTGGGTGCGGAATCGAGGTGTTCCTCGCCGACACCACTGCTGCACCTGCTCCTCCAGAGCCCGAGTTTGCTGGCAGCGTCTGGCTGAAGTTGTGATTCTAATGGATAGGGGAAAAGAAAAAAACATATTGATAAGTAAATATTTAAGACAGATTTTTAAAGAATTGTTATATTTTAAAGGAATTTTATCTATAGATAGGATTAACCCACCTTCGTTGCCGTGTGGTGTCCATTGGTGTGCTGTTGCACTGCGCTGGCGGAAAGATGTGCCCCGCTAGAACTCAGGTTGAGATTGGGACTGGAGACATTCAGGTCAAAGTTGTTGGCCTTGGGGCCCGAGTTCCCTGGGGAGCCATTTCCCTGGTTTTGGGTCTGGTTCTGACCCTGACCAGGTCCTTGGCCCACATGCAGTCGATTTCGCAGAGTAACCAGCTCGGTGCTCAGGCTTTTAAGACGCTGTTGCAGGTGAACTGCCTCATTGGATGAAGATGCATCTGTAAGAAAATGAAATAGTTTTAAAAAAGGTCCTACATGAATACCTACTAACTAAATATAACTAAAATAAAATATATAACATATTTGAAATATAAATAATTCGCTGTCAAAGACCTCAAATGGAGCATTACAATTCCACAGTAGTAAACTTTACTATGATATTTATTGGGTATATGTAATATATTATTTATGAACAGGACATATAATATAATATGGATCAAATATATGTAATACCTATGTAAAAGAAACATTTTCTTGATTTTGGGACACACTATTTTTAATAAATATCTTTATAAGACCCATTAAGGTATACATAATAATTTAGTTGACCCTCTGTATTCCATCATACGTTGTCAGATGAGCTCAGATTCTTTGCAAATGCCATTGGGTCCACCAGATGCCTCCATCAAAGTGGAACAAAGTCCTCGCAAAGGACCTCAGCTCACCTGCGAACGTAGGGAACCCTCTTGGTCTAGCGAAGGAAGGAAACGGATGAGGACGGGTCATGACGCCCTCTGATCATGGGTGAGATCGGCATGCCCAGCCTCATGGCGGTGTCCTTCGAAAGAGGATAGACCAGTGGGCGTCGCTCCTCGACCCACTGGATCGGCTGGGTCAATTGGTGCACACTGTGGTCCAGTTTGATGCCACATTTTCCCTGATGCTGGCGGAAGCGTGGTGGTTTGTGCAACATATTGTGCGGATCCCGATAATAGTCCCGGTACTTCTGGCTCTCCAGATAGAAGTTGTCGATCCTGTCCAGATCGTCGTAGTCCACGATCACCATTCCAATCCGTGGTGCAAAGCCCAAAATGCCTTTCCGCTGAACCTCTGCATTTTGGGCCACCGTCCTCATGTCCACCTCAGGAATGGGTTCGTTTCTCATTGGCAATACAGTGTAGTTTTAAATTAAGAGTAAAATAATTATACGTGTATCAAACGAAAAGTAACTCTGGGAATATATGATACACCATGTGCATATGTTTTCGACACGGCAAAACTTTTTTACCGCCATTACATCATCCACCAAAAGTGTAAAAGTGGTTTAGATGAGATAATCGTTTCCGTACATAATGTTTTCGCAAAAATGAATATCTAGGGTTGGTTTTTATAAAAGTTGGGAGTCCTCTTATATGGTAAGTGACGTCACTGCTAGTAGACATAGGTGGCGCTCGCCAACCTGGCGCCATCTGGAGGCAGTCTTATTTTGAACATAAAAGAAAAGCAGAAATTCGGAAATAGCACTTTTGGCTGGCGTTGTTCACCGTCCTCGATAGTATAGTGGTTAGTATCCCCGCCTGTCACGCGGGAGACCGGGGTTCAATTCCCCGTCGGGGAGACGTATGAAATTTTTTTTTGATTTTTCTTTTTTTTCTTGTTAACATTCTTTTTTTTAAGCTCTTTACAAGTTTTAAACTTTAAAACTGATCTTAAAAATTTTAATTCTTATAAGATTACGCCAAGTGTGGTTAGAAGTTAATGTAAATACGAAAATTAATGTTTATCTAGATAAACTATTCCATTTTGAAACATATTTTAAAATGTCAATAGGGATTTTATTATTAAAAAACATATATTATTTAATTATATATTGTAAGATCTTTTGTTTTGCTTAAAACATGAATATAATGGCAGCAAGTTAAGGTCTCCTTTATAAGCACTCCGTCAGCTGACTAAATGGAAATCTTCATTATGGCGCAAAGGAATTTGTTCGGTTCTAATTAACAGCTTAATACAACGAAATTCAATTCACACCGATTAATTTCGCCTAGGCCAACAGGCATTTGTGCACGCGAATTGCTTGGATGGTCTTGTGCCGATGGAGCAGCAAAAGTCACTTTAATAGTTATGGATGGTGAGCATTTGCATAAAATGTTAATGAACCAATTTCGCCGGAGTTCGAATAAAAATAGAGACACCGAAAGCGCAAAGATGAAACACAATTTTGGCGGCAGGTCGAAACAAAGTTCCAAAGACTTGTGTACATCTAGAACTGAAGATCAATGGGGCGACTAGACGAACAGCTTATAAGGCCCACTGATTTATGAAGACTTTCAAAACAGGGCCGAGAGGTCATTGTTACAGCCCCAACGCCTCTAAAACGCTGGCCAACTAACGAGATTTTATTAAGCTAATGCCTTTTGAGAAAACCTGTCTACTCATTTTTACAGACCAAGCTGGAAATCAAATTAATTAGCTAATGAAAAACGAGGAAAACTTTGGAGAGGCGTACGGCCAGCCAAGGTATAAATACCTTTGGACCAAAACAGAGAGTCAGAGCGAAGCTTACAGCAAAATCAGAGTCGACAAAATACAAAAAACAATATCATTGATGACTTTACCTCTGACAGAGGAAACCAGTTTTGGTGTAGGTTTTTTTTTTGTCTTTCCTGTGGCCCAAAGTTGCACTCGAGAAATATAAGACAAAAGCCACAGAAAAAGGTACAGAAAAGCCTGCCATCGAAGTCAAGCGAATATGTTGAGGCTTTTTAGACCTTTTCCAATTTGGTGAACGACAAATCAGGCATTTATTTGTGTCTACCAATTAACTGGTGATCATTTCACAATGGAAAGCAACATTAAAATAAGTTTTGGAACATTTTTAATAGATTGGTAATTAGTTTTATTGCCTTTTCTTCGAGGTTTTAGGACTTAAAGTCTCTGTTTTTTGCATGTTGTGGAGATGGGGAGAAAATTTCTTGGAATCTGAGTAGCTAAGTTGGCCCAAACTGGTCGCCAAGCTCAAGATATCTTTGGTGAGGAAAGGGGATCTTGGCGAGAAGGGAAAAGTCAGGAGTGGAGTGAAGGAACAGTCGCGTCGCACAAATGAAATGTTGCAAGTCGAGAGGCAAGCGACACCCATACAACCAGCTATTCACAGCCATATAAGCGTATTCGGTTTGTAGTTATTGCCGATGATTATGAATATGAATGCGATCGACGGCGAATGCTCATGGAGGTTGATTGAAAAATAGAAGCCAGCGGCCAAAGATGGTAACGACAAGTAGATCGAGAACCAATCAACTGACACTTTAGACAGACAATCCAGAAAAGAAACCAATGCTTGATCATTAAGGTCAATGAAAAATGTGTGGAACGGAGCTTAGGTAGAATAATTATGATTATTTTTCTGTTCAAAATGACGATTTATTAGCTGCCAAAGCTTAGTAACAGTATAACTATTTTAACAGAGTTTTAACCTCTACTAAGCTATGTAAAACTATGTATAATTAGTTGACATATCTAAGTAGTTTTTTTCAACATTCTTGAAAATAAAAACATATGAGTTAAACCGATATTGAAAAGGTTTATTAAGTGCAGATAAGTAAATAAACAACTAAAGTAAATAAACAACTAAAGTAAATAAACAACTAAAGTAAATAAACAAACGAACTAAAAGTTAACTATATAAATAATTATTGAATATTTATGTTACACGATGAAAAACATTCAAACCAATCAAAAGACTTAAAGAACAAACTTGAAAAAGGCGATTGTTTTTTATGCTTTACATTTACACTTATTCCTTCTGGAATTTCCAGATACCTCCTATAGCAACCTAATAATGTTAAAAACTTTCCTTAGTTTAAGGGAAATCAATCAAAAGACTTAAGCAACAAACTTTAAGCAAACGAGTAAATTGTTTATGATAAATAAAGTGTTAAAGTATTATTATTATATCTCCCATAAATTATGGTAACAAAGAACTCATATTGTTGCGTTTTTCAAGAAGACTTAGAGATGTTTTTGATTTAGAATAATATATTTGCAGGATATTGCTACTTCTAATATAACCATACGAAAGACTTAAGAAACAAACTTGGAATAATCATGTAAATTGTTTATGGTTTTTGAATTTCTAGGATGCTTTCTAATCATTATATTGTTAATCGTTTGACTGATAATATTTCCCATAATATCTACTTAGGATCCCGCTATCTATTCCAACTTTCAGTACAACCATACAAAAGACTTAAGCAACGAACTGAAAACTAACATCTTCGCTTACTCCCAGGGATAATATCCAACTCACCCTGCAGCTTCTTCTCCGTCTCCCAAAATTTTTGCAATTCGGTAAAATATTTATCCAGTATAAAGACTTTTGACAGGCCCAATGTGGCCATCGTTGTTGAACATTTGTGTGGCCACGACGACGACCAACGGCGAAGACGAAGACCAAGACGGCGATTTTCTTATTTGAATAATTCCGTATACAGGCTCTCACCGATCGGCGCACTACACCTATACCTGCACCATCATACCCATGGCTATACCGATACCAAAACCGAGGAGAGGAACTGGTTTTCGTACTCGTACTCGTATTCGTATTTCGTTTTTCGTTTTCCGCACAGGCTCTTTTCAGGCACCGTATCTATATATCTATGCCATACAAACCGAACCCGAATCCGCGTCCGAATATATATGTGTGTATATATTGTATTCGAAGAGAGAGAGGTTGAAAGATATGTGCAGCTGCAACAAGTGAAGCAACCGCACAGCACACGAAAAATAAGTAAACAAGCGAAAAGAATGCAGAAGGGCGAGCGGCGGCCAAAAACCAAACCAAATCACAGGGAGCCTGACGGTCAGGTTTTGGGTATGCTATGGTATGGTATGGTATGGCTATGGGTTCGGGTCTGCTTTTGGTTCTGGATCTGCTTTTGCTTTTCTTATATTATTGTGCTTTATTTTTTTCTACCCGCGACCGCGCTTATTTTCTCGTTTTGTGCAGACTTTTTTTTTTCGTCGTTTTGGTTTTGAAAAACGAGTTTCCAACTTTAACTCCAGGTACACTGGTACCCAGTGTAGATGTGCGCTTAGATACCTCGAAGGTACACCAGTATTATATGGTATACTGGTGTCTGCCACTGAGGTGAGACGGGGGGAGATGTATGGGATGGGGTTTTCTTTTCACGGATTGATTCGCTGGCACTTTCAACTCTTCAGCCAGCCAGTCAGTCGTTTGACCTCTTCACCGATTAATTATAAACTTTAATTGGGCTTTTCAGCTATCGCTTCACTTGGGGATCGCTTAAAAGAGCGAGAGAGAGGGGGCGATATACAGGTAATATGGGTTGGACGCGAGCACCCGATGCGAGCGATTCAAACTCCAGCCGCAGACTGATCGCCTCCGTTTCTTCGCAGTGGCTCCCTAAGATCTGCTCGCTCTCTTTTTCCCATCTCATACCATTCTGGTAAAATGCTCTCCCGCTCCGCAGGTAGGGTAACTTTTCTAACAGGTAAAAGGCTCTACCTTCCGAGATGCGCTGCCTATACGTGCAGTTGTTCAAATATGGGGTCAAGTGTTTGAACCCCGACCACCACCTACAACCCCACCCGCCGCCCACCATCTCGTTTTGCTGGTCGCGTGTTAATTAGCAACGATTGTTTGTTGTTTTGCCGCATTTTGCATTTTCCACAGCCAAGAGCCAAAAAAAACTGCACTGAAAATGCAAATTGGTTCAGAAATGTGTTTACATGATTTGCTTTTTGTTTCGGGGAAAAACTACAACAGAATATTATCCCAACGATTCTAAGTATACTAAAATATTACGACCAAATGCATTAAGTTTACTATTCTAAGGTAACAAATTTTTAATTCAATTTCTTTTTTAAATTAACGGTCTGTTTTTCTACATTTACTTGACGTATACTTATCTACATTTACCTTACGTCGTTTCACGACTGCTTTATTTTTGTGCACTGCTTGAAAATCTATCGAACGTATACTTTTAATCGATACATCAACAAGATTTCCGGCCTCAATTTAAATTTCGAAAATAAATAAAACGATTTTTGGAAACCAAGGGGAAAGTTAGAAAGGTAAACTATATTTGTAATACCTTTAGGAATCGCTTATATTGTCAACCAAAAATTTTAGACAGATAAAATTAAAATATTTATGTAATTAAGTCTCCCTGCTTTTTGCAAGATTTTGGGAAACATTTATATTCCATATATGAATTTGTTAAAACGCTTTTTTCCAAATAAATTTAAAGGACAATTACTTTTTGATTTTAAACATCAATATTTATATGTAATTATTTATACTACCCTGCTTTTAAAATGTATCTATTTAATTCACAATTAATTCGTTCCTACTTGCAGGCTATCTTTCTGGTTCTGAAAGATCGATAAGAATCCTAAAGCCCCCCGTGCTTTTGCCATTCCTTACAAAATCAATATTGAATTTGTTTAAGCCTCGGTATAACAGTGTTGGCCAATTCTGCGGTTCCATCTTGCCGTTCCTAATATAATATTCGCCCTTTCGGAAAGGGCACAACTCTTCGACTGGCGGAACATTTGTGTCCTTGATCATTGGTAGGAAATATTTGCCAAAGAATTTTGTCAAATAGTCACAGGCCCTGAGGCGCAAATTGATGTTTCCTTGGACCCACTCTCCATTCTTAAATTGCAGAATATTTAACCAAACTTCGAAGCTGTCATCGAGGTCGACATGGTTTGTGAACGTTCCATTTAACATTCGATCCCTTCCAATCAGTCGTGTCTCACAACTGAAGAGCGTTTCCTCCTCTCCTTCTGGACAAGTAAAGGATTCCATTCGGGCATCTAAAGTCTTTCCTAAGCACTGTAAGTCCAAGATCTAGATCAGTAAAATCTAAGGGATAGCTTTTTTTATTTACCGCCGAGACCGTCCACAGGATCAGAAATCCTCGAAGCTGCCAACGAGCCATTTTGGCCGAATTTAAACGATTTAATTTCATAACTAAGGAATAGCTTTGCCCATCATTTCTATTTATTGGGAGCAGTTAGGAAAACTGTGGCATGTTAAATGTCAATTAAATTGTCTATAATCACTGGTTAAGGCCTGATAATTAAGGGGAGTGGCTAATTCTAATGTTACAGGAAAACAGACCCATGTGTGTTATCCCAACACGTGCCTACGGTGAGAAATGTTTATGAATTACATCGAGGTTTACATTATATTTGAGTTCTCTTGAGTTGAAAACCCATAGCAATTTACATATAGGATATTATTTATGAAAAACAATGGGAATTTTATAGAAATACATTTTAAAATATAATTGTTACTCTGATTATACATTTCTTAGTTAGCTATTAGTTATACTAAGAATGTATAATTATATAATACAAAAGTGGTTAGTCCTTACCTGTTATATTTCCCGTGGTTTTATTGCACGCCTTTTTCCTCTTCGGCACAGGCAGTGTATAAATGGCCGAGAACTTGGAAAACCTCTCCACCACGGCATTGGCCCTATTTGACTTGAAGTCCTTTACCTCCGTTTTGGCTTTTCCTGATGGGGGTGTGGAAATGCGCTCCGCAACAGGGGTTGAGGTTTTCCTTTGCTTTGGTGACGGCGTTGTCGAACTAAAAATAAGTTTAAAAAAAGTGTCAGAACTTTAATAAACAATACAAGTCTATGATTATATAGTCTTTGAAACTTTTTAAGATAGTTATATAACTTAAGCTTATAAATAAAAATGTAATCTGTAATCTGAGAATGTTAATAATCAAACCTATTAACAACAATATAAGATTATCTTGTCTTGTAATAATAATAATATAATTTATATAAGAACTGTAAGCTGTTCAAGAATGTTCTAATACTGAAATATTAATAATAATATAGTAATATAATAATAATATTATTATTATTATGGTAAAAGTGGTGATCTCCAATTAGAGGCTTGCTCCGTTTTAATAAAAATATAATATAATATTTTAGTTTATCAATAAAAATACGTAACAATACTCAAACTTATTAATAACAACATAGGATTTTCTAGTCTCTTAAAGTGATTATGAAAGTTAAATGTATCAAGCGATTGGCTTATGTTCTATAACATTCTAGATGTTTAAACCAATGTGTTGAGGATTACAGTAAATTGATTCTTTCGACTGGAGTAGTAGAGCTAAGATCATGGACTACAAAAATATTTAACATTATAAAAAATATCTTAAAAAAATAAATAAACTCACCTGACTGCCTTGTGATACTGGCAGAAGAAGTCGGGTCGCATGCGATGGCGACACAGGAAGTCCTCGCACAGCCGCAGGACATCGCCGTCCTCGCAGTTGTCGCTCTGGCTGGTGCTCTCGCTCTCCTGATCCCCCGCCTGTAGCCCATCCTCGTCCTCATCCTCCTGATCCTGATCCCGATCCCGACCCTGCCCCAGTGGAAACCTAGCCTGCTGCTCTTGCGGACTGTAGAGGAATGTCGGCAGGGAGTCCCCCAGGAAGTCCGGTATGTTCTCGAAGAAGTCCGCCGTTCGCTCGTAGCTGCTGCTGCTGGCATCGGAGCTCTTGGAGCGCTGCCCCTTGGCCTTCAGGCCGCGACCCCTGCTCTTGTGGTAGGTCAGCAGCTGGTGGCGACCCACGTCGTAGTCGGCGTACGTCTGGTCCGGCAGCAACATAGCAGCCTCATCCTGATTGACCCTTCAACGGGTCAACAGCTGGAAGGAGAGAAAATTACTATCAGTCAAAGCATCCTTTAAATCACTTCTTAAACTATTAAATTTAAATATTGTTTTGTGCAAAAAATACACATTATATTATAATAATAATAATAATAATAAATAATACCAAACAATATAAATCGATTTGCTCAAAAGCGTTATATATTCGATATAATAACCAGAGCTGTAAAATCACTTAAGTTAAAAATGTAGAACTATTCTTTATATACTTCATTTATTAATAAAACTATTTTTTAATTTTAATAAATTTGAAAAGGTCTTAAAAACTACCTAACAAATTAAGCCCTCCGGTGAAAATAGATTTTGAGGATATAGGGTTAGGTTAAAAATGCAAAAGTTTTGTTAGGATCACCAAAGGTAGAATATCATTTGCCAAACAAATTCACAATGGAAGTCAGTCGATATTACTTTGTAAATATGTTAAGAAGTCTGAAGAGAATTCTTAGCAAATTAAGCCCACCTCGAATTGAAATGGAACTTTGTTGTCTGGGGAAAGTAGATTTAGCCGAACTGGCCTGCTTTTAGCAAGTGCTGCCGCCGCCAGAAAATCAATCGCGACATCAATTCGCATTTTAATTGCTTTTAAATCAAGTGCGCATGCGTCTGGGCGAAGGAGGATGAGAAGGAGGCGGAGTGGGCTGGCTTCCGCGTCTGCAGGTCCATAAACCTGTCGGTTTATTGGCGCAGCCGATTACCACGATTAGCGTGACCATGACGAAGGTGACAGACACGGACGCTAATGCCTTTTACTGCCCAGCTCAGAGATCGTATGGGAATGGATCTGATCTGGAGGCGGGGCTGCTCGAGGAGATGCAACTGCTCAGGGAGATGGAGATCCCGATCCCGATCCCGATCCAGAGGCTCCATGCAACATGTTGCAAGCGCGGCTAAACAGATGAGTGGCCTGGCCAAATGAGACGCAGTATTTACGCCACACGCCGCCAACTTGCCCGTGTGGTCCTCCAAAGACCCTGCCCGCTGGCAATTAACTCAAATGATTGTCATAAAGTGTTGGACGTGTGTGGAGGCACATGTGGCCGCCATCAGCAGCAGCAGAAATCGGAGACGAGGCCGCTGGCGTCGGCATTTTTCAATGTCAACACAGCGGGCGGCGGCGTTTGACCAGAAAGAAAGGAACAGGAAGGCTAAAACGTCAGCGAAGTCGGTCAGAAATTCAGAATTTGATATATTATAATGTCTTATAAATATTCATAGCATCACAATCTCTGGAAAATTAAATGATTTAGGAAAATCTACTAAGGATATCTTGATATTAGCCTCATTTTTCATAATAACAAAGCACTTGTTTTGATATTGTTTGAGAAGCTTAAGATCAAAGATATGTTTAGTTTCCGACGCCACATTAAAAAAGACTTTTTAGATCTGATAAAAATAAGATGGGTTTCAGATTGTTCATAAATAGCCTTTAAGAATATCCTCACCTATATAAATATTAATATTTATAAGGCTAAGATCATCTGTCCAGTCTTGCTTTCTCTCTCTGTAAAAGTCTGTCTGAGATCGCAGATATCCGATCAACTTCTGGTTTATTACGCAATATGTGAGGAGAGGCCTTTCTAAGAAGAAGGGGTAAGCCAGAAAGGGCTATTCCCACCGGGCCAACAATCTAGTACTTTGATTTTGTCAATTTATTGCTGCTGATTGGCTCCACTTGCCCATGAAGACTATCTCTGGCGGCTGACTGATTACACGGCCAAGGAAATGTTTGGCCATAAATCGGCTTAGCCAGCGGAAACGAAACGGCAGCCATGCCAGCCGGAACAATTTGGCTATCTAAACATGGCTAATCGCCCGGTGCCGTCCTTTGAGAATGAATAAAATATGTCATCTAATAAATGCACACGGACAGCAGGAGGAGCTGGAGTATCCGTATCAGTATCAGGTAGCGACATCGCATAAAATAAAATAAATCTCATAAATATGCAGGCCGTGGAGAGCGGCGGGATGAGATGGAGTGGTTCTGGATCTGGAGATGCAGATGGAGGTGGAGTTGGTCCGTCCAGACCCGTTCGCTGGAATACCTCGGCTAGTTGGGCTACCTAAGCTACCTGGGCCCCCGACGGAAATTTATTTATTCTAACTACGAGTACGATATACAATTTCCACTCCAATCTGTAAAGTGCAAGACAAACGCTGCTGTGGGTCGCCAGAAAGTTCTTCAGGCCCCTCCCTTCGGACCCTTTGGATCGCATTCTCATGTGGGGGGCCTCGTGGCAATTTGCATTCGCTGCCAGTTCAACAAATCAGCATTCGTACCACTGAGGTATGAATTAATAAGTAAGCTAAAGTTTGGACAGATAGAAATGTTTCTTCCAGCTCCATTCATTTCGAGTGGGAAGTGGTTCACCGTTGGGATATGGATCTGCATGGCACAGATACCAAATACGCCTAATGGTAAATAACTACAGATGGTAACCCCAGAAAACCATAGATTTACAATGATATATTATTATTATGATTTTATTTTGCAACAATCTTCCTTACGATCCTAAAAATAACCAATGAATGCCTATATGACCCTTAGTCTTTTATCAAGGAGTTACCTATAGGGCAGAATATGAACACCAAAGTTTTAATAATAAATGGATTAGTTAATAAAATCCAAATATCAGTATAAACATTTTAGAAGGTTACTTCAATACAGATGTCCACCAAAGTTGAACTTTTGAGATATCCCTAAAGACCGTCTGGGCAAACATTTACAATCAATTTGGAGGCATCGACTGAGCAATTTCCCAGGCCTGCAGATGATTACAGGTCTAGGATCAGGCCCTTCTCTCTGTTCTAGAACTCAAACTCCTCCCCCGAACTGCTCAGCCTATAAGAAGTGCACTTTTGACTCGCTACATGGAAATTACATGATTTAACTTAATTTAATAAAGAGCCAAGGGCACCAACTCCTTCGCCGGGATTAGTCGGGGCCCCCAATAACAACAGCTGGTATCGCATCGTGGTATCGTGGCTCGCTTTTGTGATTTACCGCATGTTTCCTCCCCACTCCCAGAGATCCCAGAATCCCTGAATCCCTGCCAAGGGTCGAACACCGCCCCCGCCAATCTCCAATAAAAATTACACTAGTCAACATTGTTTGATCATGGTGCTTTTCAGCCTGTTTTTAAACAAATCAAGAACAATTTGATCTTTTAAAATTGCAAATTATTGTTAGAACTTTTACTACACTATACTCCTCAGTTAGATATATGTAAAATGTATATGAAATATATCCATTTTATAAAGCAAAGATTGATAGAA